AAAAAAAAAAAAGGTATTTAAAGATGAATCCTGAGGAATAGAAATATGTCATTAATTTTTCTTTAATTGTTTTGGCTTTTACTAAATTGATGCATAGTCACTTTAAGAATTCAAGCCATATAGAAACATGTGAAAAGAAATAAAAACCTTTAAATATCTTGTTATCTTAATATCTTGATAAACATTTTTCTGGACATATCTATTAAAATCATATATGTATATAAATACATAATATACATATATGTGTAGTTTTACATAAAATAATTTTTTATAAATTAAATTGCAGATTTTTTTTAATGGTACTGGGAATTGAGCCCAGAGACTCTCATACTAAGCTAGTGTTCTACCACTGAGCCACATTCTTATCACCTTTATTTTTTAAATTTGAGATAGTTTCTCACTAAGTTGCCTAGCTAGCCTCAAACTTGAGAATCTACTACCTTAGCCTCCTGAGTCACTGGGATTAAAGGTGTGTGCCACCATGCCTGGCCTACAGAACATATTTTTAAAAAACCTAATGTAGTAGGCTGGGGCTGGGGCTCAGTGGTAGCACACTTGCCTGGCATGTGTGAGGCACTGGGTTCAATTCTTAGCACCACATACAAATAAATAAAATAAAGGTCTATCAACTACTAAATTTTTTAAAAAAAATCTATTGTAAAATTATGCTTTTTAGTGCCTTTAAAGAATGATCTACATTGAAGTTATAATGGTTATATGACGTTTCTTTTCGTTCTTTCCTTTTGTTTTTTCTTGTGCTGGAGATTGAACCCAAGGATGTTCTAATTCTGTGCTATATCCCCAGATGTTTCAATTTTTATTTTCAGACAGGGTCTCACTAAGTTGCCCAAGCCGACCTCAAACTTGGAGTCCTCCTGCCCTGGCCTCACAAGCAACTGGGATTACAATCATGTGCTACCACTTTACCTTTTTTGTTATTTTTGTTTTGTTTTTTATTTTATTTTTGTAGTGCTGGGAATCAAACCCAGAATCTTCAACACGCTAGGCAAGCACTCTACCACTGAGCCATATCCCAGCCCCTCATTCTTTATCCACACCAAAAGTTACTCTG